TATTCTCATGATATAAACATGGGAACACACACATTCTAATACTGCCTTAAGTGTTTATACTAATGTCCGTGCCTGCAAACAAAATCTAGCTCAAACTAGTTCAAGTAATAAAGAAGAATTCATTAGAAAGATACTGGGGTAGCTCACAAAACCAAAGACCTACAGGAATCAGGATCGCGTCCTTTCAAACCTTCCACCCGAAGAGAAAGAAGCCCTTCTCCCTCCCAGCTTCAATCTGAAAATCCTGGGAAATTTTATCTGTCGGCCTAGCCTAGGTAACCCGTCAGCCCCTACAACAACTTCTGTGGCCAAAAAGGCAAGGCTGTTATTAGAGAAGGGCTAGGGTCAGGTGGGGGTGGGGAGGGGTGGGGAGGGGTGGGGAGAGGTGGGAGGGGTGGGAGGGGTGGCAAGATCAGGCCATAGGAGGAACCCTCACTTTGACCTCCAATAAAAGAGTATCAGAACTAGTTATGAAAACTGTCCTGTGCTGTGTTAAGTACAAAGAAGGCTATTAAGCAAATTAAGGGGCTCAGAAGATGTACAGCACAGCTGTCAGATGGAAAAGTGGAGAAAAAACCCTCCAGGTAAGGGGACGGCAGTGAGTCAGATGTCTTTCAACCCATATATAGGTAGCAGGGATTTTTCAGCAGGGGGCGAAGCTGGAGTGGATTGTTAGGGAATGATGTGTATGATCTACCTGTTCAGTTTTTTGTTTTTGTTTTGTTTTTTAAATGAGACAACGGAAGGTGCGTGAAACCTAGCTGGGAGCAGAGACACATGATACGAAAATCGGTCTGAAAGTGGCTGAAATTGTCAAGTTGATAGGGCAGGAGAGGGCCTGAAATAAGGTGAAGAGGAAAAGTAAAAGAGCCTTGAGCTCAAACTTATCTGGACATATTCCTTTTTCTTTTTACACCACGCACAGCTACAGTGACAAACAACCCCTAGACTCCAGTATTATATTATCCAACCAGTTAACTGTCAGCTGCAAAAAACAGGACTGAACTTAAGACATTTTAAATGACAAAACAAACATTCTCCACCAAATGATCTTTCAAAACAGACACTTAATATAAGAAATTCCATTGCACAAAAAGGTTCAAAGCAAGCAAAGCTTATTTTAACTTTGATATACAAACCAAATCATCACCCACTACCAGCATTCTAAACAGGTTTCCTAGCAATCCAGAGTATTTCTCCCAAGTGCATTCATCTTTTCAGTTCCGTTCTAGTGTTCTGAATTCTTTGGCTTAGCTGCTGGCTATAAATAGGACATTTGGTGATTTGTTTCGACTATGTTCCCTCCCTCAAACAGGAAGAGACAGCACAGAAACCACATTAGAAAAGTACACATTTTAAACTTCTTTAATCTCCCCTAAGGTATTCCTTATTTTCATGAGGATCAGTATTAGATAGTATAAGCGAGGACCTTACCAGCATATTCGTAGAACCACTCTAAGCATCTCTTACTTGAAAAGGCTTCTTCTTCAGTCTTTATTCTAGTTGAATCGTATTTTCTATACATGCTAGAAATTGAGAAAGGAATCAAATTATTTAAAGATGCTGAGTTTCTTTTCAGTAGCAGATAGTTTTTACTCTTTTACCCAAACCAGATACCTACTCAATCAGATTCCCAGTATATTTTAAACATTTTACTTCCTGCATTCAGAAGCTTCAGCTTTTATAACTACAGTTTTAAACACAGTCATACCCATAACAGAATTAAACAGTAAACACTTGATACAGGTTCTTCTCTGATTAACAAGTGGATCAGTAAGAACTGACTGGATATCCTCCCCTCTACCCCACTAGCCAGAACCAACTACAGAATGATATAGTGAGACATGGTCAGCAACAGCTGAGGTGTTTTCTTCAAGTAATGACCCTAGAACCCACTCATGTCTCTGCATGAAAAGCCTCCTGACTTTCATGTCCTACAAGTCAGGCTGGGCACAGAACACAGTCTAGGGAAGAACCTGTCAGTATTAGACATGTCAAGGGACCATGAAGCAAATAAAAAGAAACATCAAATTATGTCTACACCTCCAGGAAAACACCTCAGGAGAGAGACATACAGAGAAGCCTTGGTTTCTGCCACTCTCTTGCAACACCCCCCTACTGTGGGGACGGCTAGCATGAGCTGGAGAACTGAGTCGGGAAGCAGGGTGGCTTCCTCCTCCAACACTGTGACTTGCTGCAGAATTCTCTATTTTATGATGACCTGGGGCTAAGAACCAAGATATTCCCTACCTGGGGAGGGGAACGAAGGAAGGATCTTGAAAATAGTCATTTTAATAGAAAAATTAGGGGCGTATACTTTTTCTTTCTCTCATTTCTATATAGGTTGCCTAAATAGGTGTGTATGTGTGTGTGTGTGCGTGTGTTGTGTGCATGTGTGTGTGTGTATATATATATATGAACATTTATGAATGTAGTTTTATATAGTATATATTGTAAAGATCACACATAATTACTTTTTAGTAAGTATTTACTCATGACCTAGGCATTTATCAAAGTAACTGTATGTACCTCTGATTAGAGATTCTGGGTTTTGATACCAAACATGGCTACAGGGTATTAAGATACTGAATCTGCAAACCACCAGTGTTCTATTTCTTCTAGAAAATGTAGCCATACTACCCAGAAACAAAGGGGAGTACTGGCCAAGGGTTCAAACGCACAGGTTCCAATCCTGGGCCTAGACATTCTTAGTTCACAGTCTGTAACAACACGGAGACTTCCGTATGACACTGTAATGTCTGAATGGCCTAAACACACCCCACATAAAAAAGGACAACTGAATACCATTCCGTAAATAAGAGAAAAATATTGACACATGCTACTACATGGATGAACCTCTAAAACGTCATGCTAAGTGACAGAAGCATGACACATGAAGACCACTCACGTGAAATGCCCAGAAAAGGCCAATCTGTAGAGAGAAGTTGGATGGGTGACTGCAGTGTCTGGGGGCGGGAATGCGGACAGACTGTGAATGGGCATCAGGGATCGCAGTGGGTGGTGGGGACCTTCTAACACTGCCTTGTAGGGACAGCTGCGTAATTCCTAACCACTTCGTAAAAATCACTGAGTTGTACACTTAAAATGGATGAAAGCTATGGTACGTAAATAAACTTGTTTTTCAAAAAAGACCAAGAGGGAAACTGAGCTAAAGCTACAGACCCCTACCCCCTGGGTGGCCAATGAAATGCTATCAGTAAGAGTACCTCACATCCTTCTGCAACACAGCTACCAGTTTCCAAACTAGCTCCTTCATACTAAGTTCTGTCGGACTGTGGGGAGAAATAACAAGTCTACATACACAGTCACAAAATGCTATGTGATTATCAGAACTTGGTAATTCTTTACACCAAAGGGGCGCCTGGGTGGCTCAGTCAGTTAAGCATCGACTTCAGCTCAGGTCATGATCTCACGGTTCGTGAGTTCGAGCCCCACGTCGGGCTCTGTGCTGTCAGCTCAGAGCCTGGAGCCTGCTTCAGAGTCTGTGTCTCCCTCTCTCTCCACCCTTCCCCTGCTGGCATTCTGTCTGTCTCTCTCTCAAAAACAAATAAAATATTAAAAAAAATTTTTAATTAAAAAAAATAATTCTTTACACCAAAGAAGTATCAAGTAACCTGGCTTCCCAAAGCTGAAAATCACTGGTCTACACACTGCTGGTGCTTATCTTCTAAATCACCGCTGTCTTCTTAGAGATCATTATTTTCTACTCATCTGGGATATGAAGAGTCATATTATTTTCACATTTTCAGAGTCTATCTCTCTATCCTTCCAACAGAGTTGGAACCTATTAAGTATCACAGCAAGAAAAAAAAATGAAAAAATCTCATCTAATCTCCTTGATTTATAGATGTGAATATTCAGGCCCATTAGTGAAATAACCTACAGGCCAGAATGGAGGAAAATGTAAGAAAAGCAGCAAAGACTAAAATTATGATGTTTGTTCATTGTTAAAAAAAAAGAGAGAGAGAGAGAGAGAAAAGGAAAAATGATGTATGAAAATCAAGGGGCAATGATAGAGATGCCTCAAATCAACAAGTCTAATGACTTTTTAGAGCTAGCAAAATTAAACAGTTCACTTGTCGGAAAAAGAATTCGTTTACATGGTCTTATTTTTTCACAGTTCCTAAAAAATTCTCACTCATCTGAGACTCAACCTCTGCTCGGCTAATACTCCGAGTGGGCTCAGAGCGTTCAGTCCCGGCAGCGCTCTCTTGCAACCCAGCCTGGGTCCCTTGTGAAAGCAATTACGGATTCCTGTGGTTGTGTGTTCAGTGAGACCTCTTAAAGAACACACGCATACCAATCCTGCGGTCCTCAACACGCACAGATGGCAGGCCCTTCAAAGGAAAGAAAAACTCTACACGAGTTTTGGTGGATCAATGGACTAAGATAAAACTTGGGTTCCTAAGAACTCAACTTACCTAAGTTTGTTTTCGTTTTAGAAACCCCCACACGAAAGAAGAATCGCAAGATAATTACACCTTGAAAATACACCTGGCAGAACCAAAACAACATTCCAGTGGAATCTGCGCACGACCAGACCCACAGAGGGCTGGGTAGGAATGCGCCTCTTTGATACACATCATCCGCTCTGATCTACGACATACCCGTCATGTCTACTTTTCTTGGCAGATAAATCATCTCCAGAGGCAGGTCTTCTCTTTTTCCTCGGCGGCATCACTTTACTAAAGCAGTCTGAGGAACTGCAAGACCGCAGGCTTCCTACGAACAGAGAGTCAAAGGGCACAACATCAAGTTTAGCCACATCCTAACATTTCCAAAGAATACCACCACCAAATTAAAAACTTTCACGGCTTGTACTGTAAAGGGTTTAGAGGTTATCTGTAAATGTTATAAGGTGAACAAAAGGTTTTTAGTTCCTCTTTGAGAGAATGTATAGTCAAGAAATAAACCTTGCAGTGACACAAATAAGTTAACACTGTCCCCACAAAACCACATCAGAAACGGAAGTTATCACAATTTCCATTTACTCTCCAAAAACATTAATATAAATCATCAAAGCTTTCGGTCTCTCTTATTTGTCAACGTTCCTTCAAAAGGAACTGCACTGCTATCTCAATTGCGTATTTCATGAGGCAAGGCCAGATCAACCAGTAACCTTGAATCTAAAATACAAACAGGCACCTCAGTCCCAATACTCTTAAGCTTCAGGGATATCTCATCTTAGAAAAACAGGGTTTAGGGGTGCCTGGGTGGCTCAGTTGGTTAAGCATCCGACTTCGGCTCAGGTCATGATCTCTCGGTTCGTGAGTTCAAGCCCCGCGTCGGGCTCTGTGCTGACAGCTCAGAACCTGGAGCCTGCTTCAGATTCTGTGTCTCCCTCTCTCTCTCTGACCCTCCCCCGTTCATGCTCTGTCTCTGTCTCAAAAATAAATGTTAAAAAAAATAAAAGAGGGGTGCCTGGGTGGCTCAGTCGGTTGGGTGGCCGACTTCGGCTCAGGTCATGATCTCGCGGTCCGGGAGTTCGAGCCCCGCGTCGGGCTCTGTGCTGACAGCTCGGAGCCTGGAGACTGTTTCAGATTCTGTGTCTCCCTCTCTCTGACCCTCCCCCGTTCATGATCTGTCTCTGTCTCAAAAATAAATAAAACGTTAAAAAAAAAAAAAAAGAAAAAAGAAAAACAGGATTTAGATTTTTTGGACAGAAGCCTGACATGATCTTGAGCACAATTTCCATACTAATTTTGAGATTGTTTCTGCCACTTTCAGTCTGGGTTTTCAGACGCATAACTTTCATTTGGTAAAAGATACTAAACTATAGTAACAACAATCACAACGTAGAGCACTTACAGGGACCTCCCTGTGAGCCAGAACCCGTTCATATGACCTACTGACCTGTTACCTCCAAACAGGCTTATGAAAAGAGAATAACCTTTGTTGCCCATGCAGATGAGAAAACGGAGACGGGGAGTTAAGTGGCAAAACTGGGGTACAAACCCAGACAGTCTCGTTTCAGACTAAAACCGTTATAAATTAAAATACTTGTATCCATCCTGGCACAGGGGTAATCAGATATGCCATCTGGTTCCCACAATAACCCCAAATGTCAGGCAGGGGAAAGATCATAATCTGTACTTGACATATGGGAAAAACCAAGGCTCAGGCAGCCATGTGATTTTCCAAGGTCCCAAAAGTGTTCAGCGGTGTATTCTGGACCCCCATGACTCTCTCCTCCTTCTATCAGCTCCTTGGTGGAAAGCTCTGGGCTCTCACTGAGTCAGAGACAAGAGGCAGCATAAGGGGCTAGTGTTTAAATGACCTGCATTCGACGAGTAAGTTCTGGCTCTTCATCTAACTGTGTGGCTTGGTCAACCGCTACCCTATTCGGGTTCCTCATTTAAGGAGTAAGAACTGTGATACCTACCTCTCCAGATTTTTATGAAGGAAAACATCCATTCAGTGAGTGCCTAGGTGCCAAGCGCTATGTGTAGACAGATGGCAGGGACATAAAGAAACACGCTCTAACTTCCATACTGGAGTTATGCAGGCAGTGCTCAGGCTGCATCGCAACCCTGCGATGTAGGTATGATTAGCACCCCATTTTTACATACTAAGAAACTGAAGAAGACAGATTAAGTGACAGCCAGAAAGCGGTAGGTGAAATGGATGACGGAAGCCAAGCAGCTTGGCAGCAAAGTCCAAGCCCTCAGCCGCTATTTTCTGTAGCCGCTGAGGCCATCCAGGCAGAGATGAGAAGCAGGAACTCAGGACACAGCCCTGGGGAGTACGGATATTTAAGGGTCAGGGAAAGACCAAGACAGGGAGAAAACCTAGGAAAGTACAATGTCCTACAAGCCAGGAAGAGACAGTTTCGGGCTGCGGTCAAGTGCACACAGAGGTCAGCTCAGGGAAGGAGCAAAAGGGACACACCGCAACGGGCAACGAAGCACAGCAGCGTGGGGCCGGTGAGGGCGGGGGCCACACTGCGATGGGCTGTGGAGGGATGCGAGGTGAGGGAGCGAACACAGTGCACACAGACCGCTCCTTCTAGAAAACTGTTTTGTGGGCAGGAAGAGAGTTGTCAATAGCTCATGGTCACAACCACAAGAAGTGCAATGATCAGGACTGGAACCTAAAGCCCAGTTCACAGTGAGGCTTCCACACTGTGCTAGGTTCCCAGGGCGATATGTTTAGGAACGGAGCAGCCAAAAGCACCTTTTCTGTTACAAACCAGGACCACAGCCTGAATGAGGCTTCTACCCAATGCCAGGTCCTGAACAACGTGTGAGCTCGAGGGTCCTGCTTGCTCCTTTAGCACAGAAGCAGACCCCAAACAGGGCTAGAAAGACGACCCTCAGTGGCCCTACTCCAGGTCCCAACCAGATCCTGTCCTTGCAAGAATGCAAGGAGGGGGGTTTTCAGAGACACAAGGCGTACCGTGTCTCTCTCCCCGACAACAGCAGCAATAACCCGAAGAGAAAGCCAGAGAAAGTGTTGCCCACCACCACACACACCATCTTCCCTATGAAGGGGTAGTCCCGCTTATAAACAACATGGGAGCATACAAAAAGGTCCAAAGAGTTTCAGAGCGACCCAAGCTTTTGGAGACTGCCAACACACAAGAAAAAGATTCATTCTTGTCCGTTAACGCTTTGGGCTGGGGCCTGCAGAACGTAAAAGTACATCCTGCCTAGCTGGAAAGCCTGCCACACTGCTCAGAAATAACAGTCTGTCCAAGAAATAACAAATGTTGGCGAGGATGTGGAGATAAGGGAACCCTTGTGCACTATTGGTGGGAATGCAAGCTGGTGCAGCCACTGTGGAAAACGGTGTGGAGGTTCCTCAAAAAAATTAAAAACGTAACTACTATATGACTCAGCAATCCCACTTCTGGGTATTCACCCAAGGAAAACAAAAACACTATTTTGAAAAGAATATATGCACGCCTAGGTGTGCTGCAGCACGATTTACAACAGCCCAGATAGGGAAGCAACCTAAGTGTCCCTCAACAGATGAAGGGATAAAGCAGATGTGTGTACATACACAATGGAATATTATTCAGCCACAAACAAAAATGAAATCTTGCCATTTGCAACAACATGGATGGGGCTAGAGAGTATTATGCTAAGCGCAAGAAGTCAGAGAGAGACAAATCCCACAGAATTTCCCTTGTATGTGGAATCTAAAAAATAAAACAAATGAACAAATGAAAAATAACAGACTCACAAATACAGAGAACTGGTGGCTGCCAGAGGAGAGGTGGGTCGGGGGGAGGTGGGCAAAATAGGTGAAAGGGCTTCAGCCGTACAGACTTCCAGTTATAAAATAAGTAAGTCACAGGGATGCAAAGTACAGAATATAGTGAATAATACCGTAATAACCGGGTATGGTGAGAGGCGGTAACAACACTTACCTTGGTGAACGCTGTAACGTACAGAACTGCCAAACCAACATGTTATACACCTGAAACTAATACAACATTGTATATCAACTATAGCTTAAACAAAAGAAAGGAAGGAAGGAAGGAAGAGTAGTCTGTCTTAAACCTTGAGGCTCACTTTCCCCTCCCTGAATGTGTACGTATGAAGAAAAGTCATTTCCTTCCAGTGCCGGTCATGGCTTAGTTCTGAGCACCTAGTCTGGCAATAAACTCTCCCTCACACCAGTGTTTGCAGAACACAGAGGAAAATGTACTATCCCCTCAGCCCGTGGAACAGCGAACACTATTTAAAATAATGTTTTCACAATATTCGCCAATAAAGGTTAATCCACTTGCTCCTCTCCTACCTGCTTCCTCATAGACGAACAGGTATAATGTCTGGCTTTCACTGAATCCTACTCAACAAGAGCATCATGTTTTGGGGAAACATACAAACATCTTAAGTTAACTAACGTTTTCAACTTTCTCTTGTTTTCTTCCTTATTTGATGCTTTCTGTGAAAAGGTTTCACAAATCACTTTTCCTCGTGTCCATGTAAAATGCTATCATATTTGAGCCCCAATTTGGCATTTTATTCTTTTATTTACTTAAAATTTTTTCCTTCTAGCCAAGAACTATGGCTTCTGTTCAGATCTCTCTACTCTAACGATCAGCGTGAGTGGCTACCGTGGGGCCATCTTTCACAAAGGAACAACATCTGTTCACCTTTCCAGCACTCACTGGCTCACCGACCCTTTCAACCCTGCCTCAGAGGAAAGACACATCCAATTCCCATGCCAGGGAAGATACAAAGGACGACACAGCACAGCTTCACAGGTAGAACCCGAGATAGAACCCATAACGACAGTGAAAAGTTTCAGGCTACATAAAAAGCAATTTTTTAATGCAAGGAAAACAAGTTTACTTGAAATACTTTGCCAACACGAACCAAGTCAACGAAATACACAGAGAGCACACAACTCAAGGCGTATTTGCCCCAATACTGCTCCTCTTCCCCCCAACACGGCTCCAGGGATCCCAGCTGAGCAAGAGCAATAAACTAGGGTTTTTAAGCGCACATTCCAAATACACCCTGGCTTGCAGGGCCCCGTTTGGTTTACCTGTGCATAGACAGCAGCCAATACAGTGTCTCAGTACAATAATAATAAGATACATACATTATTGAGAATCCAAAAGGAGACTCTCAATAAATATTTGTTAAATAAATGTGTTCTTAAAACATGTATACATCAAATTCTACTTTAAAAAGTCAGTACGTTTCGGGGCACCTGGGGGGCTCAGTCAGTTGAGTGTCTGACTCTTGGTTTCAGCTCAGGTCGTGACC